TACTGAAACATGGCTTAGTGACAACATTCCAGACAGTGCCATTCAGCTGGACGAGCTAGCATTGTATTGCGCCGATAGGAACACAGCTCTCTGGTAAAGTTTACGAATTGGCTTAACTTTACTAATTGGCTTTTTTTTTAATCTATGTGAATGTTCCTGTAAAGTGCCCTGAGACAACTTTGTTGTGATTTGGCGCTATATAAATAAACTGAATTGAATTGAATTAAAGCACAAGGAGGAAGCGTTTGTGTTTACCTTACCACAGAATTGTCCAAGGACTCAGTTCTTGTTGCAGCGTAATGTTCTCCGATGGTGGAATTGCTATTGTTAGATGCAGATTTTTTATTTACCATGAAAATTCACTGGCGTGCTCTTAATCACAGTGCATCTTTGTCCACTGCAAACACGAAGAAAGCATTGCGCGAACAGAGCCATCAGCGAACTGCAGAACATTCAGACAGACTGCTCATAATCTCTTAGGATTTTAATCATCCACCCATCCATCCATTATCTTCCTCTTGCTCCAAAGTCAGGTCATGAGGGCAGCAGCTTGAGCAGGGAAGCCCAGACATCTCTTTCAACAGCCACCTCTTCCAGCTCTTCTGGGAGGACTCCAAGGTGTTCCCAGGCCAACCGAGAGACATAGTCTCTCCAGCGTGTCCTGGTTCTTCCCCGGGGTCTCCTCCCAGTCTGACATGCCCGAAGCACCTCCCTAGGGAGGCGTCCATGGGGTATCCTTACCAGATGCCCAAACCACCTCAACTAGCTCCTCTCGATGTGGAGGAGCAGCGGTTCTACTCCCGAGTCTCTCCCGGATAACCGAACTTCTCACCCTTTCTCTAAGGGAGAGTCCAGCTACCCTGCGTAAGAAACTCATTTCAACCGCCTGTATTCGCGATCTCATTCTTTCGGTCACTACCCAGAGCTTGTGACCATAGGTGAGTGTAAAAAGAGAGCTTTGCCTTACAGTTCAGCTCTCTCTTCAACGCAATGAACCGGTACAGAGTTCGCAATACTGCAAACGCTGCACCAATT